ACGTAATTTGTGAATTTGCTGCTGGAACCAAATTAACGCGGTTTTTTCTTCATGAGCGCTAGTCTGCGTATCACCGAATGCTTTTAGGTTGATGAAGATATCCATGGAAATGGACGGAATTTGCAACGTCAGCTAATGACTGAAACGGTAGATCTACTTTCCGGCCTGTCTATAGATATCAGCAAGAGCGACTGCAAACCCGAAAAAAAAGTGAACAAGACGAGACAGCGAACCAGAAGTGCCTTAATATTGTAACAGCAGAGGTATGTTGGAAAATTGTCTAGTATTTCGCTGTGCGTATACAGTAAACTATAAAAAGCGTACGCTCGATTATTAAATATTTTTATCACAAGATATGAATGAATGCTTTGCAGAACGTGTCGCTGCTCTGAATCATTCCAAATGTAGAAATTACCACCACCTAGGCCCCCGACACTCTCCGTTCTGGAATTCCACTAGCTGCAGTTGTTTGGAGAAAACCCGTAGACTAGGATAGAGTTTGTTGTCTTTACCCACAATTTCAATAACTTTGATTACTGCGTCAGTATTTTTCAGGAAGTAGCAAATGCGGTGAATGCCGCATTAAATCGCTTAGGGAAGAAGCAGATCGATGATGACGATAATCTTTCCGAACCGAACAGTACATTAGACAAGAAGAAAGAAAAGAAATATATATGGGTAAGGTTTTAAGCACTTTGCTATGCATTTTGGCTTTGAAAACAGATCTTCGTGCCACAAACGATCACATTTAACAGTAAATTTTTTCATCAACACAAAAGCCGACGGAAGTTCCGCTCTTTTCGCGGTTTGCCCAGGCACTTACCCATCAAGCAGATGCTATGGTGCTAGCGCAAACCCACTATTCTACAGGAAGGAGATACACCACGCCTATGAGAACTTTGCTCGGTTCAAATAATGCGAACTTCCAGTTAGTATACCCATGCTAACTGCAACAACAGTTCACCTATTTCCAAGAACAAATATGTACTCAGTTAATCTACTTTTAGGCTCATGCTGGAATTTCAAACAACAGTAATCAAATGAATAAATTTTACATGCAGTCCAGTAAAATACCTGTATGTTTTATTAAAGCTACACGTGAAGAAGGTATAGTACGATTAGAAGCAGAATGTATAGTTGATAATGAAAACCTGATGGACATCAAAAAAATCCCAATGCACAACATTACGGAAGAAGCTGCAAATGTTTTGACCGAAACATCAGCCAAAATCACCGATCTGATGGAACAATTCAAGAAGGAAACGGCATTTTATGAAAAAGAGACGCGTCGGTACATCCGCGACGACTACGATCAATGCAAAATATTCAGAAGTACACAGATTTCGAAGATTGCGAGAACTTACAGCGAAATGCATCCTGAATCTAATTACTCTCATGTTCACACGTACGAAGATGTTGATAATCTCAATTTTGGAGTATATTATTTTTTTGTGCATCCATAGGAAAAGGCTATTGGCCAACAGCATTCTTTTGTTACTTTTGCTGATGCTCTGCAACTTATCATAATTTTCTTCTGTCTTAAGCGTAGAATGGTAGAAAACTCACAGCGAGTAAACTGCTTATATGTGTTCTTCGAAATCTATAAGCTTGTCTGCAGGAGATTGTGCAAAGCTCCCTAAAATTGTCACTGTCGCTACTAGTGTTATTATTATTACTGTTGTAGTCACTACTGTTATTGTCATTATTATTGTTAATTTTTTCAGTAAAATGTTTTATTGACCTCTCTGTGAAATTGCTGGGATTTCGATAAAGTTGTTAATGAGATGTTGATAGACAAGATGTCATTTACAGTCCACGACTTCTCTTATCAAGGACCACTTAGATCCGTGTGGACGTTCTGCTAATGAATCACACTTTGCCCTAAGTTTAAGCGTATTGTAGCTGAGGTAAAAGTCTACAATTTGACAATTGGTTGCTGCAGACAGAAATCTGATCAACAAATTTATTAATCAAAACTGTTTTGAAATGAGCAATTTCTTTGAAAACAGGAAAAGCTACGATTTTGTTTCTGACGCTGATCCCAACTAACGCGTGCGTATCACAAGTAATGCAAAAATTACACCCTGTTTATCCAAGGGATCTTGTTGATCTCCGAATGATATTTAAAGTAGTGGAACTTTAGCTTTTTTCAAAAAAAAAATCTAAATTTTCTAAGCTCTAACTTTTTTTTCGAGATTTTTGAACGTTCAGGGTGTTGCATTATCGAAAAGCAGTCCCATGCCGGTTGAAGACGCCATGAACTTTTTTCTCATAATCTGCGCGCACTTTCACTGCCTTGCTTTTTCTTCCACTTT